AAACTTCTTTAAATTCATTCTGTTCACATGATGGGTTCACCCGAGAAGTTTATTTCCATATTATCGTTTTTTAAGACTTTTTTTCGCCGGAGTTCACGAGAAACGCTAATCCTCAGAGTTTCTTCCTCCTCTCAATTTTGTAATTTATACGACTATGTAAACACTACTGTCGTAGTTTGAGGATAGTGGCATTACTTTGATTTCAAGAGTATACAGATGTCATTGCTCTTCTGAGTAAAAATCTAATTGATTTACAATCTTTTCTGGATTGTTTCAACGGTAATCTAACCGTCTCAGGTTCGCGTTTTGTACCTTCGAAGTGTGAACTGCATTTGCATGTCTGTCTCTGTCCAGCTCGAGACTGAAGAAGTTCGGCCGAGAATAGACGAACCCTGTTCTCGGGGTCCTAGTTACCGTCCGCCTAGCGGACGCATCACGAATGAACTGTCGTCACGCGTACAGCCGGATCGGTTGGTATTTGCTAACTTTAGACATCTGTGACCCCCGCCGCGATATTCCGTTGTCCGTGACTGGTAGATTGTATGCTGCAACAGTTCGGTTATTGCGCTCTTGTAGTGCAGAAATTTGGTTATTACGGGAATAGGACAAAGATTGGCTATCGGTTTGTAAACACCACTATCTACCTCATATTGCATAGGTCTGGTAGATCGACTGGGGAGAGCAATGCTGAACTGAGGTGCGGAATTTTAGGTATCCTAGTAAATGTTTGGTCAGATGCTCGTGGCATGTCTTTTGCGTATGTCACCGTTAAGGCCTCCGCGACGCGGGGACCGGGGACCTCGAGATCATTGTGTTGTATCGAAGCCTTAGCGAGTTATATACAAATTTCCATCCAAGGAGGTACCCCGTCGCAATACTGCCAATACAAGTGTGGAATAGTGCGGCATCTTGCGTGCATACTATTAATATAACTACTTAATGCATTACAAAACTCAGAACGAACACCTCTTGTTAGTCAGTCAGTGTCCAGGGCTCCCGGTTCCTCTTCCTATGACGGTTGTTTATGCCCTATTCGTGCATGGCAGTGAACTTGCAAACAATTCCTCGTACAGTTTAGATGCTTTCGTACCAGTCATACTACAACGGCCACTACTACTGCTCTGATGCATGAAACAAGGCGAAAGAAATTTGCTGATCAAAGTCATCGCGTTTCTTCAACTTCTCTGCTTTCGCCATTTGCGCGACCGGTTGGCAATGTAGTTTGCTACGGATCCACCGCCTCCGATCTGGTGGCTCGATGCTGTTAGACCACTCTTTATGATTGCTCCCGTGACTTTCCGGACCCGGTTCGATGTCGGCGTATGTGACCACAAGCGTCGGTCTGTTGTCCTATTTCAGACAGGTGTCGAGCATCATCATCATCTCATATGTGCGATGTGTGAACTTATCCGCTGCAGATGGATGAACCGGATTATACTGTTTGATAAAAGTACTCAAAGTAGCAATTCGCTACGGTCACCATTGTGTGTTCTTTGTACAGACAAAGTTATGTTAATATATCGTAGGACGGATTGATTTTTCCGCCGGCGAATTATTATGTTTGTTCCTTCTTATTGTAATGCTGTAGAACAACAAGTGATTACTCTTTGTAGTGGTCTCATTGAGAACAGTTCGTTCATGCGTCCTATTCTACTACATTCCTCATCCCTGAACTACACATACATTGGTTTTGGCCAATGTTACCCAGTTTGAAAGCTTTTCATTTTCGGACTTCCCTGTCGACCTTCCATCCGGTATCTTTTATCCTTCGAAGCGTGCCATTCTCCTTCTGCACTTGAACACACCCATGGCCAGCATCCTACCTCCCAGTGGACGGTATTTTGCATAAGCTAAACGGCAAACAATTTAAGGGGATGGGCGACTGCTGGTTTCCGATACACAGATACACACACACGGACATCGCTAGACCATAGCATATTGATAGTTCCGTAGGTCGACCATACTCCTTCCGGTTAGGTTTGTTTTCGTTCGTGTGGCACAAGGACGTAATTTACAACTTGAAATCTATTCAGCAATCAGGTGTGGATGTAGAGTTACTGCGGTTTGTGTGACGCGTGTGGCGGGGNGGAGGCAGGTTTGCTATCTGGTGATGAAACCCATTCTCCCGCTCTTTTTACGCTGTTCTGGGGGAAATACATTTGCTGATTGTAAACTCCTCTGCTCCCCACTCTGTGTATTCAGGCGGATATACGAAGGGAACTGAACGAGTTCAAAGCCACGGAAATGACTGTTCATGTGGAAAGCAGACAGTTTACCCGGTGAGTAATATCCTTAGTATGCTACTCGGGTTGATTGTCAAAGTGACTGCACGATTTATTCTGTTGNCCGTTCTCTTGTTTTTCAATTTCTCAATAACTCCTTTGGTCACTTTTCCCATTTCTTAAAACGGCTCACAATGAGAAAATGTCAATGGCGTTCTGGTGTGGCTCATAAGACATGCTAGACGAAATTGTTCATTCTTCCGTTCTCCCATAGAACTGTGTAGTGAACCTGCTGACCGATGTTAAATGACTCCATTTCTCTCGCTCTCTCTCAACAACTGTGCCTTTTTGGGTAGTTCGTTCAACAATGAACTACAGGTTTTCAAAGAAATTCGGTGTACAGATTGCTATTCTTATTTGCACTAGAAGTTGGCTTGTGATGTTCCTATGGAGGAATCTATATGGATGGAGTCCATAAAAAAACGGAAGCCGAGAGAAGAACTGCTGTACTTTTCAAAGAGCATACTCATTTTTCCAATCACTTCCTTTCAGATAAGATAACTATATGTACAGTAGTTCCATCACGGATTCCAATCACAAGTCGGAGAAATGCCGGATGTCTGGACGAGTCTATACACGCCAAACAATTGTCAAATTTTCTTTTTGTGTTGTTTTTTGACCTTCATGATCTTCCTTCCATCTGTATGTATGTTTAGGCCGAATACGGGGGCGTGTACTTACCGCCACTGTGCGGTGTCCCTGCTCGTGTCCTAACCACCGAAGATAATATATTGATATAGAAGAATGGAGGAGAGGTCTTCCTGGGCCTACCACCCACTAGTGTTGCATTCGTGATCGAAGGTTAGATTAGTAGATTAGTAGCAGTTGATTAGTAGACATGTCTCGCACTTTCCATATCTCGTAGCCATATAGGTCAATGTTGTTGTCGCTAACTTCATTTGACTACTCATGAGTAGCATCCATTAGACTTGAAAAAACATCGTTCACTTTCTGAATTAAAATTGTTCTCTTCATAATCTCCGTGTCCCATTAGACTATGCACACTCGAATGTAGGATTTCTTTGAAGTGGATAGATTTTGTTGTATGTGTATCATAATTTACAGCAACAGGGATGAAAAGTCGCTAAAGCCCTCCGGCAACTTCGGTGCTGGTAGAAGTTGTAACATGATTTACATCGAATTATTCTCATGTTGTTTGCTAGCATGAATGAGATTGTTGGCAACTGCCCTGATTTTTGGACACACAATTTTTACATTTCTTCACTGTGAAACCGGTTTTCATTAAATGCGATTTCATGAGCAAATCTTGACGAAATAATAAACTTCGGCATGACCGATTCTCTTCTGCTTTCTTTTATTTTCAGATTTCACCGGCCGTGATCAGTCCGCTGACAGACACCTGCAAAATGCGATCCAATCAGTTTATTTATCTTCCTATGCAACCCATAAACCTTTTTTGATCTCACAATGTCTTCCACCTTATGTGTGGCTTTATCAGTTCCCGGTAACTTTTTGTGCTACGAAACATCCACGGGCAAACGCACTCATGCCGCATTGTTGCCTCCTCTGTGAACTGATCTCCTCTGCGCTGACTTTCGATATGTTATTTCCGGTCCCGGCATTACTCTGACTCGTTCATTTGGCGATCTATTGGCATTGCTGCCTGCTCGGATTCATTGTGCTCAACTCCAGTAATTCCAACAGGATCTTCCAATTCCCGGAGGTGTGAATTGTCGTTTATTGTTTTTTGCAGCTCCGCTCAAACACACACACACACTGTGACTAGAAGTATTACCGCGTACACAACTGTCGGTAGTCATTCATTCTTCCGCTTACTTGGGCTACGCGTTCGCATGGTTACCCCTCCCCCCATCACGCACAGACTCCCGACAGTGTGTAGCGGGTGCTCTGCTTGATCCTATGACTTTCCCCTGCCTCACCACCCATTTCTCGCACAGATCGCGTCCGTTAGTCCTCACTCGTCCCAAAGCTCATGCACTCCCACGGTGATTCTCTCATCGAATACCGCATAAACGTTTGTGCCTTGTCGAGTAGCCAACCGGTTTGCAATAAAATGGTTCCCTGCTGTTGGTGCTCTCGTATGGTTGAGATCACTCCACACCAAAACACCCATGCGTCCAGACTAATTTTTATCACCTGTGAGTATAAGAACAAAATGTTCAAAGTTTCTTTTTGGACGCGTCCTGTTTTTCACTTCTCTCATGTACATTCGCTTGCTCTTTCTCTCTCATTGTTGTCCGTTCAATCACAGCGCTCAAACACACGCACATACACACACACAGACAGACAGTTCATCCTGCTACAACACATCGTAGTTTTCATCGCGTGCGCTGTTGTACATAGTTTTTGGCACTTGTTCTCACATTCACCCCCGAATTTCAAACAACCATTCTCGTTGGAATCTGGTACATTCTTGATTGTCGTGTGACCAGAGTGAACAGGACGCGTAAAGCGTATCATGAAGAGGAAACCTGTGCTCTCTCTCAGATGTGATTGGTCCCTTGTTGTCATCCCCCTGTCCATATGACTTGCATGTACGGGTTAGACTGGTATCGGTTCTTCTCACGATCACGTTCGTTTTTGTCTGCGCCCCCGTCTTCTATCACACACACACGTTCGGTTTCTCGGTTTTTTCCATCGTTTCTATCCTCATGTCAGAGGTTGAAGCGAGGATTTGCCGTGTGAAAAAACACTTGAGTGCGTTGGTTTATTAAGTGAGTGGGAGAGGGGGCGCGGGTACGGGCACGATGCGCACAAATCACCCCCTTTGTTCTCATCCTCAAATCTTCCCCTACCTCATCCCCCCCTCCCCGTCCTGGATCTGCTTCATGCGGTTGCTATTTCGACCATGTCTTTTTGCCTTTTTCCGTCCAAGTGACGTTGTTGATCTTTCCGATCCGGTCATCGTCTGTGGTTACTACCAAAAAAAAACTTGTCTGATTGAAATCTAATAGCTGATTTATTGGCTGAATTGTGTTCTTTTATTGTTCGATCTCGTGCACACTCGACTCCACCGCACTTGTCACCTGCTCTTGGGTTCGGTTCTCAAAATCGTGCACAATGTCGTGAGGTTTCACGGGTTACTGACTCACCGTGAGCTATCTCCGTTCAGAAACTGTTGATCGGGGAAAAAGTGAACATCCAGTGCGCAGTTTGAATCGGATTGTGCACATTTATTCTGTTGAGCGTCTGATCCCTCGTTCATGCACCGTTGACTGATCGCCTGTACGATATCGTCTGCTCGGCTTGCATTCAAAGCAATTCATCTGGATGAAGTGCAGCTCGTTCCGAGTACGAGGTTCTCTTTCGCGAGCATTCACTGCCATGCAAATTAGAATGCCTGTTCGTGTGACTGTTTACTTTAACTAATGAAACCCAATAACGTAAAGCGCGTTTCGTGCATAGAGAATAGAACCACGTGGTGTGTTAAACTGTGTTCGGAAAACGTCAGTCACAAACAGAACACATTATAGCGCAGGTTGCGAACAGATAAAGGCCTTACGTGCACCAATTCAGACATGCTTCTGTCCACTCCTCTCGGGCCAGAAGCAAGTTAGTGAAACACGATCGCCTGCGACGAAATCCGTATTGCACCCGGAGTAGAGCGTTGCATTTTTCCAACTAACTAAGCACAGTTTCCGGTAGCAAGCTTGAATTAGCCCATTCGATTGTTAAGAGGCACCATTATTACATTGCCTGAAATAATGGAGTCCATGACTTTGGATAATACGGGAAGGAGAGTAACCAGACGGTAGTTAGCTGGGTCACGATGCTAGCTCCCTGGCATATTGGAGAAATTATTCATTGTTTGTGGGAGCACAGTTATGTCGAACATTTGTTGGAATAGTTTACTTAATGGTTCATCCGTGTGACTTACCAGATTGATAAAGGTTTATGAATGGATATTATTTATCCCCGGAGGTAAATTCCTTTTGAAACACTGAAGTTTCGATACTATGCTTTCTGGAGAAAAATCCATTGTGGTGAGCGTTGGGTATGGTACATCCTTAAGTAACAAAGACAGTCGCAGTCCGGTGTTCGCAAGTGCGGTGAACACTTGAGTGTACTGAATTTGTAACATTTCGGCTGCCTCCTTTTTTGTGACTGAAACACGCTCTCTGGTGGTATTTATGTGTTTGTACAACAGCTTGGGATCTGTTATAAACTTGCGCATCAGCATTTCTTGGTACATCAACTTTTTTCTCGAGCTAACTTGGTGGAGTGGTTCCGAAGTAGACAGTAGGTACACCATGTGTTGTTGCAAGGCGATCGTTTATAAGCTTTCCAGAACCGTTTCACGTACATCTTGTTTTTTTCTATTGTCGTCCGTCTTGTTTGGAACATTTTTATTCCTTGATCTCAAACGGAAGCATCAACTACCCCACTTATTTCGGACTCTTACACACAGACCGCATATGTTCTTCGATGAATGGGTGAATCTACAATGTATCTCTAATTTGGTAGCTTTCCAATGATCGCATGTTTGTTCAAACCAATCATCTTGACGGGTGTCTTAACGCTCAACAACCAGCCACCTCGACTAATACCTATTGATTGGGTTCTAATAAATTTGTTATTGACTTGAACTAGACACACGGTGTGTTAAGAAATAAATGTTGATCGGATGGGCATGGCGCTTTCACCTTTGAGACCGCCGAACATGTATTTTGTGATGAAGATTTGGTTGATGCCTGTTTAGGTAGAGAAGTAAAGAGAAGATTGGGTTGTTGAAAGTAGTGCCATGATGAATTCATAAAGACTAAGACGGTTGAGCAGATCCACGAGCCCCACTGCTTACGATACTCAGTCATATTATTTCTGCCTCTCATCCTCGATTGCAATGATCCCCGCGTCTCCATCCACGAAATCTAACGCGATCTGTGTGCACAGGTTTCCGGGTCAGGGTTTTCTAACCTCATGCCAAATCTTAGTCTGGCAACCCTGTACTTTTTCACCCATCCCTTGCTGCGGCAAACAACGTGTACCGCAGCAACCTATTTAATGACAAACGAAACAGCCTGCGGCGATCCTATCCTAATGGGATGACGCAAATCACGGGGCGACACGTTACAGTTTCCGAACAACTGAGATGAGTCAAGCTCCCCACATTGTGCCAGCATAGCGCCTACGCGTTACAGCGTCTAGACTAGGCACCATAGGACGATTGCTCCGACCAATCAAAAGTCGTACAGCCCAAACAGAAGCTGGACGACGCCAAGAATACGAGCACGCTTCGATAACCAATGTACTTCTTTTGTACAGATTATTTAACTTTGATCTTTTCCAATAAATGAACTGGTACTCCTGTGACTATTTCCTTGCCTCTCGGTAAGTGCCAGTGTGATTCAGTGCTTACCTGGCGTCCGTGATTCCTAATACGTGATTTTTAATCCTTGATTCGTAGCCCGTGATCAGCGCGTACTTCAACCATTACATAGTCCCGACCAATGTAATCTATGGTGATCGATCTCTTGCTCCAGTGGGCGTCCACCGCCTAAAACTCTGCTCCTAATCTCAACATTGTCCGCTCGGTTGCTCTGCCCGAATCGTTCAATGGCATGGAAAGTCCATCTTTTCCTGCTTTCGTGATGGCCAAATTTCGGCGCGTGGCAAAATAAAAAATAAACAGAAAATTCGAACTAACACGGTTCTGTTTTCTTTCCCATAGTGTCCCTGATAAGCACTGTACGACCAGTTCCATTTTTCTTCGGTTTCAGTTACCTTACCTATCAGTACAGTTTTTTTATTTGAAATTATCTTCATCGCGAGCGCAAACTTTTCGAAATAAAAAACTGGTAGTCCGCAGGAACCAGCGGGAAACTGTCAAACACTTGCAAATCATGGGAATAAACGGTTCCGTACCAAACAGAGTGAGCCGATCACGCTGTACCCATTTGTAGACCCAGAAATTGCGACAAAGAAGTAAATCAGGGTTATATTCCACATGTGTATGGGTACGCAGCAGGGTTATAATTAGAGCGCTATAAACGTGATCAATGAACCATTGAGCACTACAGACAACATATGACATTAAAGTGGATAGGTCCCTCACGTAGTAGTAGTTTGAGGGAGGTCCAGGACCCGAGCGCTGGTAATGCACTTGCACAGGACTCCCAGATAGATGTAAAAGCGCAGAGAGAGGTCAGGTAATATACAGGCACTGGAAGTTCACGAAATGCATCTGGTAGAAGCACGAATCAGGACTAATAAGGATCCCACTTGCTACATACGCATTCGTCTATCAACTCCCACTGATTGCCCAATCACGTGACCCAGCAATTCATGACAGACACTGACTAATAACCCTCCAATCCAGTTTATCCATGCGCCAGCTTGACCTAATTTTGAGATAATCGTTT